GGCTCCTTAGGAGGACTGAATATATCTATCCTTTGATGGCTGATGTGAAATTCCAAGTCATTCTCTCAGGGGTGACCAGGTTAGAGAAGCAGTCCTGGTATTTCTCTGTTGTTTTAAAAGGTTGGTTGGGTTCTTGAGCTCTCCAATAGAGTAGGAAACTCTGTAGAATGTGTTGTTCTCTGAGATCATTTTGCCTCAGCTCTTTCGCAAGGAGGATGAAACTCCCTTGTGGATCCTTGGAGGCTAAAGAATTGCGAAGTTTTGAAAACTTCGAGTTTTATAGAGAAACAAAGTTGAGATAAACATTACATTTTAGTGCAACATTGGATATAGTTACTAATGCTGGTTTTCAAAAACAATTTCTTCATTTTTATTACAAAAAAAATTCAGAGACAACAGTCACTAAGCATAAGTCAGTCACTCCCCCTTTGTTTGGAGCTAAGTGGGAAACTACTAATTCTGCAAATATTAATTCATTCCTCTATTGTGGACAGACAGTTTAGGAAAGGAAATATTCCCCTACAGAAGGAAGACTGTCACCTTAGTTGAAAGACACTGTCATCACAGAGATTTCTTTTTCAGTGCTACATGCCACGGAGAGCAGACCCAGCATCTAGGAACATTTAAGGAATGTGTTGTTGCTGTATCTTTGCCATAGAAATGGAAAGAGTAGCAGTACAGTTACAGTACAGGTACAGGTACAGTAACTGTGATACAGTTCCACATTGTGTGATACGGTTCTGGAAAATAAGTTCTTTTGTTCTTACACTTGATGCTCAGTGATCAAATTAATACGGTAGGATGGGAGGGTATAGTAGCTAGAAGTTATTAGAGTGCTCACTGAAACACCCTGTTACTTTCAGTTTTAGAAGCATTTGTAAATTGAGGCTTTTACACTGATAGGAGAGAGGGGTTAACAATCCTGCTCAGTCCCTTTATTGTGGGACAGCTCCCAGGTAAGGATGTCTTTTTTAATGAGTAGTCAATTCAGTTCTTGGAAGAAACAGGTAAGAACAATAGTTGGGATTTAAATCTCTTTTCTCTTTCTTTCTTTCTTTCCTTCTTCCCCCCTTCCTTCCTTCTTTCCTTCCTCTCTCTCTCTTCTTTCTTTCTTCTTTCTTTCTTTCTTTATTTCTTTATTTCTTTCTTTTTTTCTTCTTTTCTAAACAACAGAATGCTGAGGTGATGTGATATATGAAAACAAAAGTAGGACTTGTTAGGGAAAAATAGAGTTACCAGCATGGCATTCCTTTTAATGAATATGTAGGTTGAATGCTCCTTCCTTGGATAGTGATGGTCTTATATAGACTAATTTTGGAAGTTTGGAACAACTTTGATGCAAGTGTTGAATTTCTATTTAGGATTAATTTTGGATTGCCAGATTTCTAAAGGGTCTCACACCTCTATAAGTTGTTTTATATTGTTTGTTATCTTGGGTCTGAACTCAACTGAATAAAATGGAGTTGGTTCCTGTGTCTAGAGAGAAAAAAACTAATTAGTAGCAAGAAACCTATTACTGTAGGAGGCTTGAATCTAAGACAGGTCTTGATGCTTGACTAGATACTAAAAGTCAGCAGGATGTGATGAAAACCTTTCAGTGACGTTCTAGTGAAATAATTTCCTAAAACCTTGAGTGAACTCAGTTATGTCTTGATGTGATAACATTGTTTGTACAGGGCTACTGGTAGAGATTCTTGTATTGTGAATGGAATATGTTCATATGACTTATTAGTGTTGTGCAATAATAAAGCACAATTTTATGAAGTACTTAAATGTTTTTCCCATGAGTGGTCTCTAGGAAAGTCATCAGAAGTACCATAGAGGATTCATTAATAATTTATGTGGGAAGTTCCTTGTCTTCTGTTTACTGTAGAGCTCATGTTCTTAAGAACTTTGAGCAGTGCATCTGATCACTTCAGTTCTGTGTATGCACAAACTTTAGTCAGTTTATGTTTTCAAGATTCACTTTAATATTCTGCTACCCATGGTTGTGGAGAATGAAGTCATGGATGAATCTAGGACTTCACACACTTCCTTTACAATCTATCTTTAAGCTGCATCCCCTGACAACTTTTTCAAATTTTTTAAAAAAGATTTTATTTATTTATTTGACAGACAGAGAGAGATCACAAGTAGGCAGAGAGGCAGGCAGAGAGAGAGGGGGAAGCAGGCTCCCTGCTGAGCAGAGAGCCCAATGTGGGGCTTGATCCCAGGACCCTGAGATCATGACCTGAGCTGAAGGCAGAGGTTTAATCCACTGAGCCACTCAGGCAACCCCCCCACCCCTGACAACTTTTAATAGCAAGTAATCCAACCATGGGACAAGGTCATTTAGAAATGTCTTGCTGATAGTCTTTATGTCAGCTCTTTCACACTGTAAAAATACACATATAATAACAAAATTGGTTGCACAGGAACATTAAAAAATGTGAACAAAATCAATTACTTTCAAAGGAAAGGTAAGCCTGCCTCTTTGTTTTTAGAACTTTCTTACAATGAAAACCTGAAAAATAGGGCAGATTTCATAATACATTCGAGCAATGCTGGAAAAATTTGGACCATGCTAACTATGCTAAATATTCTTAACATTCATTTTTGTATTTGTATCCATACACATGAATTACAGAGCAAGAGGAGGGAGTCTTTGTCTTACTAAATGGCTGCGAAATGCCAAAAATAATCTATACCTAAAAGACCTTGAGTGCATTAGCTTTAAAAATCAATGCTGTAAGTGTCCAAAATCTATAAAGAACTTAGCAAACTCAACACCCAAAGAACAAATAGTCCAATCAAGAAATGGGCAGAGGACATGAACAGACATTTCTGCAAAGAAGACATCCAGATGGCCAACAGACACATGAAAAAGTGCTCCGTATCACTCGGCATCAGGGAAATACAAATCAAAACCACAATGAGATATCACCTCACACCAGTCAGAATGGCTAAAATAAACAAGTCAGGAAATGACAGATGCTGGCGAGGATGCGGAGAAAGGGGAACCCTCCTACACTGTTGATGAGAATGCAAGCTGGTGCAACCACTCTGGAAAACAGCATGGAGGTTCCTCAAAATGTTGAAAATAGAACTACCCTATGACCCAGCAATTGCATTACTGGGTATTTATCCTAAAGATACAAACATAGTGATCCAAAGGGGCATGTGCACCTAAATGTTTATAGCAGCAATGTCTACAATAGCCAAACTATGGAAAGAACCTAGATGTCCATCAACAGACGAATGGATAAAGAAGATGTGGTATATATACACAATGGAATACTATGCGGCCATCAAAAGAAATGAAATCTTGCCATTTGCGACGACATGGATGGAACTAGAGGGTATCATGCTTAGCGAAATAAGTCAATTGGAGAAAGACAACTATCATATGATCTCCCTGATATGAGGGAGAGGAGATGCAACATGGGGGGTTAAGGAGGTAGGAGAAGAGTAAATGAAACAAGATGGGATTGGGAGGGAGACAAACCATAAGTGACTCTTAATCTCACAAAACAAACTGAGGGTTGATGTGGGGAGAGGGGTTTGGAGAGGAGGGTGGTGTTATGGACATTGGGGAGGGTATGTGCTATGGTGAGTGCTGTGAAATGTGTAAACCTGGCGATTCACAGACCTTACCCCTGGGGATAAAAATATATTATATGTTTAAAAAAAATAAAATTAATAAAAAAAATCAATGCTGTAAAGATCATACACACACATACACACACACACTTAAAGATTATATTATATATTATAATCTTATTTATTATATATAAATATATAATTATATAATATAAAGTTTAATTTTCTCTCTTATTTATGTATATAATATACATATTCAATATTCTGACCTGATTTTGAATGACAATATCCAGATGAGTTGACAAAGTGGAACTGTTAGTTGTCAAAGATAAAATTTTCTGAGAATAGAGAATAGCCACTGCTCTAGTTGCATAATTAGTTAGAAAAGACACATTTTCTAACAACCAAGCAGAAGCAAAGATTCCTCTGTGAAACTAATGAAAACTTAAGCCTTGAGATCTCTCAGCCCTGTGTGGAATGTAAAAACCTTAAAATATTTCAGCTCCTTTAGAACTGAGCAGTCATTATTTTTACAATTGTTCATACAGTCTTGAGCTACCACCAATGCACAATAATGGGCCAGAGTGAATGTGAGTGAACCTTTGAGAGGTAAGAGAAACACTCTGGGGAACGTAAAGTGTTCTCCTGGTTAGACAACCTGCTCAGAGGGCAAAGAGGAAATTTTGCTAATTCATTTGCAATCATTTATTAACTCCTAGCCAGAGACTGATTTTATTTTCTCAGAGCTGCAGGTTTTTTTTTTCTTATTACACAAACAATTTAAAATTAATTTTAATATAAATTAAATTGAATTATACACATGTATACAATACAGTCATATTAAATACTATATTTAAATGATATGGTTTGAGCTTCAACACAATTATTTTATCAAGCACTTTTTAAAGAAAACATTTATAATGCTTTGATTTTGCCATCTTGGCTTCAGTGTTACAAAGAATGAACATGTTCCTACATTGCAAAGGTTACACATAGGGATTGCATGGTAACTCTTCATACTCCTCCTTTTTCTCCTATTTACTTTTTAGTTCCTTTGTCCTTATATCTTTTTCATTTATTTCCATTTTTTTTGTTTTCTTTATGACACTGATCCGCTTTAAATTCCTCACACAGATACAGAAATTACAAGCACTAATTGCAAAATTATTAAAATTAATTAAATAAAAGAGCATGTTTTGTGTTGGAAATCTGAATTGTTTTACATTATCTTATAACCAATTCTATAACATTAAAAAAAATCTATGTGTTGACAATGTAGCTGTTTTTCTGTCATAATAAATTTCAGGATTAAGTCCTATTTTTTTAAATTATTTAATATCTGTGAACATTGATTTTAAATACTAGATATTAGAGTCCTTATAAAAGAAAAATATATATGATTATTAAAAAATGGATGTCTTGTGCTTGCTTCGGCAGCACATATACTAAAATGGGAATGATATAGAGATTAGTATGGCCGTTATGCAAAGATGACGTTCAAATTTGTGAAGCATTCCGTATTTTAAGAAAAATGTATGCCCTGATTTATTAATCTTAAAGTGAAATTAAATTCTCCACATGGCTTATGATAAATCATTAAGATAATGAAGGGGAACAATCTTAGGAAATGTATTATTGAAAATATATTCCCCAAAACACAATATACCATGTATGTTTGTCTTATTAATTTAAATATTATGACACACATTTCATTTTCCAGCTCTTAGTTTTATTGATACAGGATATGGTTGAGTGTTCATTTTTTACAATTAAGTTTTTGGTTTATTAGATGACTAGTAGATGAATTCTTATATCTAAAAGATATCTCAAATATTATCTAGGGTTTAATCTTCTAATTTTTGGATAAAGAGATTTAGGTTCAAGTCAATTTATTTAAAGTCATCATAGAACAAATTAATAACAGAGTCAAGATTGGAAAGTGAGCTTCTCAGGGTATTTGTTCAATGTCATGCTGGGGGGTAGAAACCAAAAAGCCCTCCAAATGGGAGAAGTGGGACCTAGCCCACATAGATGCAGATCAAGGCTCAGAACTTTGGGTTGGCCCACTCGCTGGTCCCAGACACTGGAGAGGGATTTAAAGAATTTCCAAGCAGGTACTCTAAGGAGAAGGGTCCCAGAGATGTGTGGGGCCAAGGCAGGGGTTCTGCTTGCATGGATTTAAAGACAATATTGCGAGTGAAATAAGTCAAGCAGAGAGTCAATTATCACATGGTTTCACTTATTTGTGGAGCATAACAAATAACATGGAGGACATGGGGAGATGGAGAGGAGAAGGGAGTGGAGGGAAATTGGAAGGGGAGGTGAGCCATGAGAGACTATGGACTCTGAAAAACAACCTGAGGGTTTTGAAGGGGCGGGGGATGGGAGGTTGGGGGAACCAGGTGGTGGGTATTAGGGAGGGCATGTATTGCATGGAGCACTGGGTGTGGTGCAAAAACAATGAATACTGTTATGCTGAAAAGAAATTAAAAAAAATAAATAAAATAAAGACAGTATTGCTCCCATGGCACTTGGAGAACCATACTTAAGCAAACTGACACAGTTAATAAAGGCTTACACAAAGTGCAGTGGAAACTCAAAGAAAGAAACAGCTTATTTTGTCTGATAAAAGAGTAGGAAGGCTTCTTGAATGGTGTATGATTTGAGGAGGGTCTTCAAAGATGAGTAGGACTTTTAGGCTTTCCAATTAGAAAGATCACATGTGTGAAATTCTAGTTATGTTAATAGACTTTGTCTTAATAATTTGGACCACTACAACAAATTACCATAGACTGAGTGGCTTAAAAAAAAATGAGAAATGTATTTCTCATAGTTCTAGAAGCTAGGGAGTCCAACATCAAGCTATCAGTAGATTTGGTATCTGGTGAGGTGACCCCTGTTCTTAGTTCATAGATAGCGGTCTTCTTACTATGTCCTCACATGACAGAAAGAAAAGGGAGCCCTCTGAGGTCTCCTTTATAAGGGAACTAATCCCATTCATGAAGGCTTTGCCCTCAGGACCTAATGACTTTCTCAAATCCCCGTCACCAAATACCATTCCATGGGGGATTATGGTTTAACATATATATATTTTGGAGAGACACAAACATTCAGTCCATAACTGAATGTTTGTTAGATTTGAGCAACAATGAAAATCAAATGTGGCAAGAATGTGCTTTGAGTCAGAGATTAGTAAATGAAGACAGAAGGGTGAAAGATAAAGAATTCAATATTGGGAATGAACATGCCTAGAGACAGGGGAGTCCATAATGGAAGCCCTAAACTTGAATAAAGGTTGCATGAAAGCATATGGTATAGGTGAAGTTGTAGCAGTGAGAGGGTCCAGAACAAGAAGGATCTTGTTACTTATACAAAAGCAATTATTATCAAATGAAATGTATTTAAACGTCATCTCAAATGGAGGAGAAAAAATGAACAAAGTTTGCATTTTGGTTGAAATAGAAATAACCAGAGTCAACTTTATTTGACTCTCAGTCCATTGAATAATGTTTTGTTTTGTTTTGTTTTTTCTCTCCAGGAAAGGGAAGAAGAAAAATAGATAATTGACAGAGTAAATAATGGTACATCTCAAAAACAGTGCTTTCTACAATAAATATGCCTTATGAGTCATGCAATTCTCTAAACATATTTACAAATTTTTGATAATAGCAGAAGACTTGGGGTTAAAGGGTTACATACCAGATGGATAAATACAGGGTTTGTATAAACATAATTTGATAACAAGGGAATCATTTTTTATTTTTACTATCAGTAAAACACATCAGAAAATATCTATAATCTATGATAAATATGCTTGAATTTAATCTCACTTCAAACATTTGCCTCAACTAAAGTTGGTTTTTGTTTGGATCCTGGGTCTTAAATATTCTGTATCAGACAGTTTTCTCAATATAAAGTAAAGCAAATCTCAGCACAGTACCTGAATTAACAAAGTACTATTAGTTCTAAGGGATGATTTCCTCTCTGGGCAAACTCGTGGTCTATTATTTGTGTTTAATGAAGACTGAGTAAGGAGAGATAAAATTCAATTAGTCTGAGATTTGTTTTAACATAATCTAAGACATGGCTGTGGAAAAGAAAGAAGAGATGATTATAAATGAAAAAGGTTGACAAAGTGGTGGTAATTATAGAAAATGGGTGCTGGTAAATGGGCATAAATGTGTTTTTAAGATAAATGTTTCTCTGAGTTCTAGGAGCCATTTTAGCAGATTAATCCAACCCAAGGATAAGGTTGTGGGAACCTCCAATCTGCAACCAACTGGTCAGAAACACAGGTAAAAACCTGGGTTTTCAGTTGGCATCTGAAGTGGGGGAGGGCAGTCTTGTAGAATTGAGCCTGTGGAATCTGATGCTATCCCCAGGTAGATAGTATTAGGAGTGAGTTAAATTGTAGGAAACCCAGCTGGTATCCAGAGAATTGTTTGTTGTTGGTGTGGGAGAACTATTCATTACTTCCACCAAACCCTCCCCACTGGAATTGGTACTAGAACCTAAAAGACCTCCCAATTTGTGAAGGAGAGCATCACCAATAAAATTCTAGGCTAATTGTATATTTAAATCCAATCATATCACCTGCTCCTTAACTGAATAGTTACTACCCTAATTTTTGATCATTCTCATGTTTATTAAAAATATTGCATTATGTAACTATCTTTAAGTAATTGTTTAATTTTAATTTAATAAATTCTGATTAAATACTTTATTTAATAATTGTAATTTAATTAATTATTAATTAATAATTTAATTAATTAATGATTAATAATTTAAATTTAATTTTAATGCCACTTCTTTTTATTCTGTATGTTGATGCATAAAGCCACAGTTTATTCATTCCATTGCTGTAAAATATTTCATGGTATGAATATTGATATTTATACAGTCTTTGGATAGTGAAGCTATTCTATATGATAAAGCTATGAAAATTCTGCTATGTCTCCTAGAGCACATGTAGAGAATTATGTCTAGGATATTCCTAGTTGAATCATAGGTATGTATATTTTCAGTCTATCATGTAATGCTAAATTATTTCCCAAAGTATTATAAGCAACCAGTTTATATTCTCTACTGCAGTGTATGAGTGTTCCTATTGCTCTACAAACTTGCCAACAAATAATACTTTTTACTAATTGGTAGGTAGGTGTGCAATATCTTATTATGTCTTTAACTTATATTTCCTTGATCACTAATGAGGCTTAAAAACTTTTTATTTATTGACCATTCACATATCCTCTGTTGAAAAGACTTATTATTATTGACAACTTTTCTATTAGGATGTTTATCTTTTTCCTGTCTATTCGTAGTATTTATGACAAAAAGCCTTCTTTAATTACATGAGTTGTAGATATCTTCTCATATTTTGTGGTCTTTTCATTTTTTATGATGTTTTTTGATGAATGGAAGTTATTATTCATTTATGTGTTCATTGATTCACTGATTTATTTATCTATTCATTAAAAAACCATTTACTGAATATTGGAGTACTTTGGAAAACAAAACAAAATCCCTCCTCTTGGTGAGTTTATTCAATAAAGGAAGACACACAAAAATAGTGCACTAACTAAATTATAGAGTATGTTTGAAGCCAATTAAGTATTCTAAGAAAAGAATAGAGTAGAAAGATTGGAAGTTGGAGGGGATATCAGTAGGCCTCATCGAGAAAGTGAGTTTTAAGCAAAGACTTGAAGAAGGCAGGGCATTCATCCTAAGATAGCTGGGGGAATACCATTCCTTGGGGAGGGAAATAGTCAGTTCAAAGGCCTTAAGTTGTGTTAAAGAAAAAAGAAAAAGACCAACATGTATGGAATTGCGTAAGTGGGGAAAAGAGGAGTAAAGTGGGCCAGAAAGGTAAGAATGTACAGAATGGGTAAAATCTTTTAGGCCATTGTATGTGTTCCAACTTTTATTTTGGTTAATAGTGGACTAATAAATTGCAATGGACAAGGGTTGCTATAACCTTGGCAAGAGATCATAGTGTTTGAATCAGTGGTAGTAGTACAAGTGGTGAGAGATCATTGGATTATGGATTTCTTTTTGTAAATAATTTATTTAAGAAAAGGAATTTGCATACAGAATGAGAAGAGAAAAGTCAAGAATAATTCCAAAGATGATTCCAAGATTTTTGACTTGAAAAATTTGAAGGATTAATGCATTAATTTATATGTGAGAAGTTTTGGGGGAAGATTCAAGAGTTCATTTTGGACATGATAAGTTTGAGATGATTATGAAGTTTTCATTGGATAGGTAGTTTTATATGTAATTATGGAGTTTAAGGGAGCAATTTGAGCTGATGATTTAAATTTAGAAGTTCTTGGCAAAAAGTGTATTTAAAGCTATAAAAGGTGGGCTGCTGGGTGGCTCAGTTGGTAAATGTCTGCCTTCAGCTTGGGTCATGGTCTCAGGATCCTGGGATCGAATCCTGCATAAGGCTCCCTTTCCTGCAACTTGTGCTCTTTCTCCCAAATAAGTAAATAAAATCTTAAAAAAGTAAAAGCTATAAAAAGAATG